ATAAGGGGTGGTTTCATCCCTTTAAATCGTTTTTGGGCCGCAACTGCTAATTTCTAAATTCATCTATTTAGGTAACCTACATGTATAAAAAGTTTCGTTAAGATCAGAATTTGACACTTCGCGAGGTTCCCTTGTTAGTCAAGTCAAAACGTCCAACTTTAATATTATCAAATTTTAAATGATATGATATGTATTTTGTTTGTTTTATTGACCTTTGATTCTTTTCGTTTTAACATTCAGCTGCAAAAAAAGTACATCATTGAAAAATTAAGAAAAATTTATCAAATTTCAAATGATCATAACTTGGTAAATAATGAAGATAAAAATATGTTTAAAAAAGCAAAATGAAGCTTCAAGTGTCCACTTTAAGAATATTTGAACGGCAGTTATAAGCGATAATTTTTTACAAAATGGTGGATGACGTAATGAGAAGATGTAAAATTTGTTATCAAAGGTGCGAGTTTGCGACGATGCACAACGTGAATCAGGTATCGCAGCTCAATGGAACAAAATGCACATGAAAGTATGGACTTTTATCTTTAAAATTCTTTTTTACAGAGTTCGATACGATTATTTTTCACTGAGTTAGCCCACATTTAAGGTACCGCCGTCATTAGCTCAAGTTGGTTTTCATCCCAATATGAGCTGCATAAAGTTTGACGGGTCGGAATTGAATCTCATTTTGTGTGTGCGCGCGCGCGCTCGTGTGTGTGTGTGTGTGTGTGTGTGTGTGTGCGCGCGCACGCGAGCGCTCATGCTTATGTATTAATAGTGGGTATGACCTTCTTGTGCGCGTATTACCTCATTCATGCAATCAGACATACTCCTTATTAGTCTTTTAATTTCATTCTGTGTAATTGCATTCTATTCGTTTTCGAAAATTCTCTGAAGTTTTTGCAGTGATTGAGGAACCCGGTACGTGATTCGCACTTTCCTGCTAAGATTTTCCCATACGTGTTCAATGGGATTTAGGTCTGGACTATTCGCTGGTCATTCGAGTCGATTTATGGCAATTTTATTGAGAAAATCAATTACTCTTCTCGCAATATGTGGTTGAGCATTATCTTGCATAAAGATGAAATTCTCTCGAAAGAAGGATGCGTACGGAACAACATATGGATGTTTACAGGGAAGACACACTCATTCCGTTTTTATTTCTACTGTGATACGCACGCACGCACGCACGCACGCACGCACGC